TCTGCTCGTTTCCTGCCTGCTCTTCCCTGAAACCCTCATAATGGTCCTGTGGACAGATGCAAGGAACTCTGGTCCCAACCGTGGTCCTTGAGGAACACCATCCTGCATGTTTTGTTTTCCTGCTTTGACACACCTGATTTGAACGAGTGATTAACGGGCTTCTGCAGAAATCACTGAATCAGGTGTGTTGGAGCAGGAAACAACTGAAACATGCAGGATGGTGTTCCTCAGGGACCAGGGTTGGGAACCACGGGACTAGTGTATTTGCTGTAGACCAGTTCAGGACTGAAACTTTAAACCTGTTAAATAAATAATAATACTTTATTTATATACCACCTTTCAAACAAATGTTACAAAGTGCTTCACATTAATCAATTAAACATCATAAATGACACCAGAAACACAAAAAGAATACCAAACCAATTAAAATACATCACAAGACAAAATGAAAATAAAATGCGAAGAAACTCGTATATTAAAAGCCTTATTAGACAAGTAAGTTTTAACTAATGATTTAAAAGAAGACAATGAAGAGGCCTGTCTAATATTTAGAGGAAGAGCATTCTACAAATTAGGAGCTCTGACCATAAAAGCCCTCCCTCCTTGTGTCACCAGTCGAGCTCTGGGAGTGGAAAGTCATAACAGATTTAAGGATCTGAGATTGCAAGAAGGGATGTAGGGGGTAAGAAGCTCAGAGAGATATGATGGTGCAAGACCATTCAGGGATTTAAAAACTACATTTTAAAGTCAATTCTAAAACCACAGGGAGCCAATGCAATGAGGACAGAACTGGAGTGATGTGCTGATGTTTATGGGATCTTGTGAGAACTCTAGCTGCAGTGTTTTGTACTAGTTGAAGGCGATTCAGAGAACGCTGGGGCAGCCCAGAAAATATACAGTTACAATAATCAAGAAGACAAGACACAAAGGCATGAATAACATTTTTTTTTAAATAAGAGTTTATTAGTGAACATATTCAGTCCAAACTAAGTTGTCTAAATTTGAATAATAAACGTCCATAAAATTAACAATTATATTCTAGCCTTCATTGACAGCTTGAGTTTTATATATTTTTGAGAATACATAATGTTGAATATTTTTTTTCTAACAGTTTGTTCATTTGTTCCTGATTCAGTGGAGCTGATGCCCAGTAAATGGGGCCTCGTGATGGACAGGTTGCTGGTTCTGTCCAGAAAGTTCTCTGACACCCTCACCAAAATTCAAGGATTTCTCTGGAGGGTTTTGGAGCTTCACATCCTCAAGATTGTGGCTTTTTTCACCGTGTGGGTGGCACTTGCAGAGGTAAAGGCAGAGTGGCTGAGTATTGCATGTGTTAACGACTGGTGTGGGATAAAGAATGAATAAACCACAACAATTGATCAGATGTCTTATTATTATTGTACAACTTGTGCAGTTTGGTCAGATGTTATGCTAAGAGTGAAAAGAGTGTCCATCAATAAACACTTGTTCTCTGGTTAAGTTTTTCATGCTGGATTACAATTTAGATTTTCCTTCTAATCCAACTTTATGTGACCTTTAGCAGTAGCAGCTTGTCATCTAGACAACCACCTAAATGGTTAACTGTAATGTAGTGCAAGGGTTGGGAAGGTAAACCCTTTTAATCTAATAATCTAATTCCAACTCACAGTTTAGATATATTCTACAAATGGTTTTTGAGCTGTGGTGCTCAGTTGTAATTAAATTAGGAGCATTGAGTGAAACTGCATGTAAAAAGTGGATGAATAGTAAGATTACAGTAAACAACAAAGTTGTGGTTTTAAACTTGAGTGCCACGGTGTAAAAGGGATGCAAATTGTTTCTTAATTTACTACAACAAAGTTGATCTGAGTGGTACTTAGGGTCACAGCCATGGTGACAAGGTGACAGGTTTTTTCTGTCAAAGGAATATTTCTTACATACTGGGCACATACCCTGAAGATCCAAGGAACATACCCTGTTACATACTGGTCTGTATTATGTATTGCATTAGAGTGCAACATTTAACTGTTAACACTATTAAGTTTTAGAAATAAACACAGGGTTGAAATCTAAATTTAAGGTTTTCAAGGATTCAAGGTTCTTTACCTGTCATTCGCACCACATGTGGTTCATGTGGTGGAACGAAAGTGTGTACACAGGGTCCCAGTCACATCCAACAATAAAATGTAAAAGAAAAAGAGTAATAAGATCCAAATTTAAAAAAAAAAAAAAAAAAA